AAGGCTCAAAATACTAAAGACACCTGGCTAGAGTTAAGGTAATGACTGTCATCTTGGTCCAGTCCCCTTAGCTTCCACCTGCCTTCCTCCCATGGTCATGCGATGGGGTGCAGGGTGGTGAAGCTAGGGAGGGGCTCAGTGTTGGTCCAAAGGGTTTGTCAGTTCTGGCTTGGTCTAGGCAGAGGAAGGGAAATGAAAGGAGTGGGCGGGAGCTACTGATCACTGGCTTACAACATACTCAACAAAGTGATGCTACATGTTCTCAGCGCTCCTATAAAGAACCTGTCATCACTTCTATCAGGGGACGGTCTGACAGCACCTAAACCATCAGGGTGCGGACAATATTTGGGAGCTCACCAAAGCTGTGTTGATTCCATTCACTTACACGTCTCTCTTGTATCCCAGGGAGGGGAGGTCAAGGGCCGGGTTCTCCGAGATCTTAATGGCACCCTGCATGGCGGCCAGCAGACCGTTTCCTCCTTCCCCGCGCAGAGCTGGGCCGAAGCACTCCGGGCGTCTGATGAGCAGCTTGACGACGACACTAGCGTTTTGGATCTGAACAGGCGTTTCTCCAAGGAAGGCTGGATTTCCAGGGTTGGTTTAAACCAGGAGAACAGGTGCCAGTAAAATAATAAACAGTCTCTCAAAAATATCCCAAAATAATGGGGTAGTGATTGTGAAAGGTATCCAGGTGAGCGAAGTCAAGACAGACAGAACGGTTGCAGATCAAAGGAGAGTCTAGACTGGAGCTTGGACTAGACAACGTGAATGAATGAGCCCATTCAAAGCAGAACAACACAAACCACAAGCCCTTCCACTACGTGATCCTGACCTACAGCGATCCTAGCTGGGGTTTCTGAGGCTGTAAGTCTTTACAGAAGCAGATCGCCTCGTCTTTCTTCCTTGGATCGGCTGGTGTCTTTGAACTACTGGCCTTGTGGTTAGCAGTCCAACATTGACCCAGCAGCACCACCAGGGCTCCTAGTGAGATAATGAGTGAAAGTGAAATACAGTCTGTAGATCATCTTAATTGTTAGAGTAAACAATATCTATTATTAGATTAAAATAAGAAAACATTCACTCCAAATTAGAGAACTCTGTGGCAATTTCTTTATGGTAAAAAAAAAAAAAAATCCCCCAAACACCTGTTTCCTTTGTGCTTCTAATGTGAAAGAATACATTTTGCTTCTTATTTCAAAGAATACACATTACCTCCCACCTATGGGCTCAAGACCCAGGAATGAGGTACACCAAGCAACTTGATTTCCTCTCAAGAAGTTGAGATGTGTTGGAAGCTAAGACTACTGTGATACGCATGGCTTGTTTAGCAGAGCTTGGATATACACCCGTGTTCTGGTTGGTCACCTGCACAAGACTGATCCTCATACTCCAGGTCTTCCAGAGTTAGACTATAGGGTCGCTGTGGACACAGTCTCCCTTCACAAGCCTGCTGGCTCAATGAGGTTATAGGTGCAGTAAGTCAACTTCTCTCAGCTCTCTAAAGAGCAGAAGATGGGAAGGGAAAAAACACAGCTTTTGAGTTTAAATCTTTGATGCTTATAAATCTCCTAAAAATAAAAGAATCTTTTCAGGATGTCTACAAAGCTCTGCCTCTGGGAAATAATCACACATGATCTATGAGAACAGACTTCTTTCCTGGGGCCTAATACCACGATCAAAGAACCCTAATAGGGCAGCTGTTAAGTGCGCATCTCTAACGGGAAGGTCCATGGTTTGAACCCGTAGCCAACCTGTTGAAGAAGAGATGTGGGGATCTTCTGTCAGAAAGATTTCAGCCTAGGACACCCTATGGGGAAATTCTATGCTTGCCTATAGGGTTGCTAAGAATTGACTCTACAGGACACAACCACAACAATGAACAGTGCACAGGCACCATCAATATGGGGGGAACAAACAAAAAAGGATTTCACTGTGGAGCTACCTGAATCAAGTTGGCTTGAATGACCAAATAACAGCATATGGAAACATACTTCAGTGAGGCTTTTGAAATGTTATGTGTGGGGAACATGCCTACCTAGTGTGATTGCCACAGACAAAGCACACAACACACAGGTCCATCCAGGACTCGTTGCTTAAAAAAAAAAACCACAACACCTTGTAATGTTAGCTAAAAGGACCTATGAGAAAGGCATGCTAGGAAATGTCAAAGACAGAAGAAATGATGTTCAGGAAATCTACAGTATCCTTGGCTCACATCTCTCAATGTTGTTCTCTGGGAAGTCTAAATCACTTACATGCATTTCGGGAGCACAGCGACCCAGCAGATCTATAAGAGCTGAATAAAATGACATAATTGCATTGCCCATGTGCACGATCTCTTCTTCCTCTTCATTGTCCTCCGTGCTGCTGAGAGAGAATGAACACAGGGGGATGTGAAGAAGCCACACCATGGGCCAAATATCTTGTCCTCGTTATTAGACACAAGCTACTTGATATGGAATTGCTTTCTCTGTTCATGGTAGCCCCTCCTTTGAATGGAACGTTCATTATCACTACAGAAAATAAGCAAACTAATGTTAACTTGGTAAGTGATCAAATACACAATCTCACTGATATCACCATTATGGTCAGACAAGGTGCATGACACGTGCCTTCGGGAGATAACTTAGAATAATCTGAGTGTGATGGACACACAGTGAGAAAGACACCAGAGCTCCCAAGGAGCCAGTCCATCAACTGCTTTGAGAATTGCCATTAGTGGAATGACCTAATATTGTCAAAATGGCAACGGTCTCCAAAGTCAATGACGGATTCATTGCAATCCCCCAATCTTTGTAGAAGTGGACAAGCTGGCTCTCAAAAATTCATCTGGAATGTCAAGGCACCAAGAATTTCGAAAAAAATAAAGTAGGAAGACTTATACTTCTCCATTTCAAAACGTACTACAACAACTGTAATCAGGACTGTAGTACTAGTCCAAGAATAGACAAAGAGATAAATGAAACAGAACTGCACACCCAGAAAACAGCCAACACACTTGTAGTTGATCAATATCTGACACCGGGGTGTCAAGACCATCCAATAGGGATAGAAGAATCTTCTCAACAGTTGATGGACGGACAACAAGAACTCCACATGGAAACGAAAGAAGCTAGGCCCTTACTTCCACACCACAGACAAAAAGTTACTCAAAGTGATTGATTGTCT